TACACACACACACATTCACGTATACACATATATATGTGTGTGTGGTATCTGAAGTTATAATTATTTTCTTTGAAGTTAAAAGGACTTTTTACCCGGAGGAGTAGTCATAGATTGAGTAAATATTATATAAATATTTAATGCAATATATATTGATATGATATTGCTTGAAGAGCTTATCATCTTTTGAAATGTATAAATTTTTTAGTAATAATATATTATCACCCAGCAATTATATTTAAAGTTGAACATATGATACATTCAACTTTAACTGCATACAGTACTTATATTAAAGGGTTAGTTCAGCCAAAAATGAAAATTAGGCTGCGTTTTACTCACCCTCAAGGCATCCTAGGTTTACCTTATATTTTATCTCCTTTTGAATTATGAGTCAGAAATGAACCGTTTTCGCATTTCGTTTTAAAGCAGATCCATCAAATGTTCAAGACTCTCCTTTTGCTTTTTCTGTTTGTTCACCAGCTCGAGGATCAAACAGCTTTGCGCTGTGTTTGCGCTGCTCTTTGAGCCGGTTAGTGTTATCTAGTTGAGTTTTAATGCAGGGTCTTGATCTTTAGCTTGAAATTCAGTCATTAGAGCTCCGTTCTCTCCAGCAGATCTCTGGTTGATTAGAGTTCTTGTGTGCGGGGATTTGTCCGCAGTAATTGGAGCTCTATATATATGCACAGTCTGCACTCGCTCCATGTGCTCGGCGGACGAGAGCCGTCCCACGGGAACCACTGAACAGATTCATTATGGAGTCTCACTGCTGCGTGAGATGTGTTTGCTCCCTTCTGCCACATATTCGCTGATTTGCGCGCGCGCACACACACACACAGACGCTGCCAAATGGTAGATGAGAGGCATTACTGCAGAGTGTGTTCAGGGGCAGATCTCTACATGCCTTTTATTTACCCACATTAGGGTGTCTATTTTTTCATTTGAGGGGTCATGAGTATAATTTCTATTTCACGGATTTCTTGCACCTTTTTGCTTTTTGCCACTTGACTGAATGTCAATTTAAATACGGGAAATTAATAGATTGGTTGACTCTATAAAGGAAGCAGAAAGCTGCCACCACTGCCATTCCAAAGAGATGCGTTCTCACTCATTTGGAAATTTGAGCCAATAAATCCCGTCATTTGAACTGAAGGAATGCAACACCCGCTGAGTACAACGATAGAGCTTGAAAGATCAAAGACAATTTTTAATATAACTCCGACTGGATTCGTCTGAAAGAAGAAAGACATATACACCTAGGATGCATCGGGGTGAGTGAAACGCAGCCTAATTTTTATTTTTGGGTGAACTAACCCTTTAAGTGTTGTGCAATATATAGAAAAACTCAAGTGCTTAATGTGTTTATATTCTCGCAGAATTTACTATATGTGTGTGTGTGTGTGTGTGTGTGAGTGCATGTATGTATATATATGTATATGTATATGTAATTATATTATCACCCAGCTCAGCTAAATGTGACTATAAGCCATGAAGATATTAATATTATAAGCATTACCGTCATGATTTTGTCAGGCTGCTTTGAAACTGTGCATTGTGAAAGGTGCTATACAAATAAAATGTACAATATATTAATAAAAATGTATATATTTATTAATAAACAATATTTACCTACATATAATGTTGACAGAAAATGTAAAATGCCACACTGGGACTTTATGAACAGCTTTGCGTGACAAATGAAATGAATCATTGGATCTTGAATCTTTTGATTTCAAGATTCATTGTAAAGTGCCATTTGAAAGAATTGATTGAAGAATTGAATTTGAATTTGAAGAATTGAAAGTAACTCCCAACCGTAGTAAAAGCAATGCAGATACAGGCATACATTTACAGATTTGTCCTTATTTTCTTTCTTAATGCATTTTCCCTGCTTGTATTTGGATCAGTTTTTTTGGGCTTGTACATTTTAAATGTGTATCTACTTAAAAATTATTGTAAATGTTGATGACCTTAAAGGTAATAGACATTGACTAAATCCAGAAATTGTGGTCTTTTAATAGTTTGTGTGTCTTTTGTTGAGGCTCTCTCTTAAACTGTCTGGTCTAAATGCCCTCTGGAGTGTTAATTGAGCTGTAAATTTGACGGTGTATCAAGGTCTTCCATTGAAAGTGTAAGTGTGACAGGCTAATGGAAGAGGTCTTAAGAATGACTTGGATTGAAGGTCTTTTTAAAATCGAGCGTTTCTGATTGAAGTAACTGAAGATGTATTTAACTTGTCTTTGTGTGGTACGACGGACAGTCTCTAAGTGTCTGTTTTTATGTCACAGGGCTGCGCGTCCTGGAAGTGGTATTTTCCCTTTCATTATGCTCCGTTTGCCTCTGACTTCAAAGACATCAAGGGCATGTTCAGCGATTTTGAGAAAGGGACCAAACCGGTAATTTGAAACATATTGCAGCACTGAGCCAAAACACATCGTGCATAAGTGTTTGTGTGTCAGTGCATTGTAATTGTATTGCTGATGTGTTGACTGTTGATTTAACTCTGTGTCATCATATTTCCTCATTTGTAGTTCAAACCTCTGGAGCAGCTTATGGGTGTATTTCCTGCTGCCAGTGGAAACTTCCTGCCACCAACATGGAGAGCTCTGATGACGGACCCAGTGAGTGACAGATTTACCTCTGACCGCTGCTGCTGTTATGCATTTTAAGTGATAGAGAATGCAGAGCTACATTTGTTTTTTGTAATTTTGAGAATTTAATTAGATCATGAAAAAATGGCTGATTTTACCTAATCGTCAGATTTATTAGGGGCCAAGCACCTATTGTATCCATTTGTTTTCTTATTTCAGGTTGTGTTCATTCCATTATTTTCAGTAATATATTCATTTATAGCTATCATTAAATGTGCAAGACAAGCAATTTAATTTCTTTTTTTTATTATTTCTCAAAATGCAATTTAAAAGTTGCATTAAAAATCATTTCTATTCAATTTTTAAAAATATAAATCTTATTCCTTTTTTATTTTATTTTACTTTTTAATTAATCTTTTATTGAAAAAACTTTCTATTTTTTCTTTTATTTTTATATATTTTATTAATTCATCTTTATAATATTTTGTCTTTTTAATATTTTTTTGTATTTTGTTTTTATTTTTTTTATTTTTTTTTTTATATTTGTAATTTTTAATATTTTTGTATTTTTATTAATTGTTTGTATATATATTTTTTTATTAATCTTATTGATTTTTTTTATTAATTTTTATTGTAGATTTTTATTATTTTATTTTAGATTTTGGATGTAGTTTTTTTTTTTATTATTATAGAAAAATAAGATTATTATTATTATTTATTATTTATTTTATATTTTTCTTTATTATTTTGACATACATACTGCTCCATAATTGTGCACAGTAAGACCAGGGACATGTCTGAATGTAAATGGCATGAATTTTAATATACTTAATTTTTTTTTTTTATCTGTCTTTAACAGGAATCTTCAATCATTGATTTCTACCCTGATGACTTTGCCATTGATTTGAATGGGAAGAAGTATGCCTGGCAGGGTCAGCACTTAACTTTGAGCTTCACAGTCTGATTAGAAGCAGTGAGTACTGTATTATGCTTTCTGTCATTGTGATTTGCTCTTCTCCTCTCGACAGGTGTTGCTTTGTTGCCGTTTGTCGACGAGCGGAGGTTACGAGCAGCTTTAGCAGACGTCTACCCTGATTTGTCTCCAGAGGAGGGTGAGGCATATTCTTTTATAGACAAACAGTATAAAAGAAGTAATACTGCCTAGTCATGTTGCATTGTTTTTTCATTTAAAAAAAATAGTGTGTGCTTAAGTGGTTTATCTTTAGTGTTGTAACCTGACTGTACCATCCTATGGTTGTTTTCAGTGAGAAGGAACAGTCTAGGAAGTGATGTCGTGTTTGTGGGCAAGTCCCACCCCCTTTGTGATTTCATCCGGGAACTCTACTTTGCAGAATCTCATGAGGTATTGATCTTCCTCTGATTATAAAAACAAGATAATTTACATAAAATTCTATTTTATTTCAGTTTGTCATTAGTACTTTATTTGAGTGAAAATTAGAAATGTTGCCTTGCCAACTAACTGAAATTAGTTTTTTCGTCTTTATATTATTTAAAATTTCTATATAAAAGTTTAGAGGTGTGTATATATATTAATTTTATATTTCTAAAGTGAAATATAAAGTGTATAAATCTGATCTAAAGTGTTATCAATAATCCCTTAGTCTGAGGTTTAATATTCCAATCCTCTCTCTCAAGGCCACTGAGATCCCTGCAGAACTTTGCCATGGAATCCAAGGTATATTAAATCTAGATGAAGACCCTATTCTACCAGATAAGTAAGGAGACAGCACATTTATTTTTTTATTTTTTTATGCTTTTCCGTGTTTTGTCATTACCTGGGCGATGTCTGTTGAGGCACTTGAAACTAAAGCCTCACAAATCCTGTGAAACACCTTGTTTTTTTCCTCAGACCAGTGGAGTCGCCGATCCCAACACTGAGAGACATCAGCAGCAACAATGCTATTGGGTAAGAGTTGGTTTTACACATCAACCGATTATCAGCCAATCTCAAAGTGGTCAAATATCGTCTGATGCATAGCACTGATGATCAGTATATAGATCTATATTCTTTTTAAGTTGCTATTTTCATTTGGTTTATTAGTTTGTGTATCAGTCTGAGTCATTTGAGCTCTATGAGCTACTCAAGGACTCGTGTGTCAGGCATTGAAACATCGGCCTTGTCCTGCTGATATTTACTGGTTCCTCTAGAGGTCAGACATGGCATGAAACCCTGAGATGTTCAGCAAAAACTTTAGATGAAGTCTGGATTGATGCCATTCATCTGAATGGCTCTGGGATGAGATATATCCAGGCATTGCACTTAAATGTTTGTACTTAAATACTGATGGTTTCTGGTTGGCAGAATCCAATTCAAGGATCCGCAGTATGATGGTGGTTTTGTGTTCAAGGCTGTTGTCCTACCAGGGGCGAAGTAAGTGCTGCACTATTCAGTATTAAGACCTATTGAATACTCGCATGAAAGCGAGTTTGAATGGGATTTTCAGTGATGTTTTAATATTTTATATTTATGCATTACAATTTCTCACTTCAGGATCCCTAACAAGGTTCTTAAACCGGGTGATTGGGAGCAGAGTAACCGCGGCCCATGGAGACCTCAACTGGGATTCAACCCAAACCGCCAACAAGCCCATCTGGACCAATCGGCTTTCAGAAAGCTCAAGTAAGTGATAAAAATCCCACCCAATCCATCAGTTTATTTGGTTGAGTTCTTGCATTTAATGCTTTTAAGTGGTATTGTGTAAGAAGAAACCAAATTAGCACAATAGTCGGTATAAAACGGGCTAATTAAACATCTGGGGAATTCAGGCTTCAGTGACAAGAGATGAATTATGCATGGTGTTTAGAGGAGATGTATGCAGATGATGCCCACCAAAGACTTAATTTCTTAATGAAAGCTGTTATTGGGTTTGATTGGATGGTGCAGACAGATGTTCTTGGACTTCAGGTAGTTCTGTGATCTCTAATTTTTTATCTTTATTTCATTATTAAGACTTTGTCTGAATATTTGGCCTATTAGGGATATTTTGGTATTTTAGATCGGAGTTATCAACCTTTTCCAACCCAAAACAATGTTATGTTAGTGTTATTTATCTTATTATAGTATTTCTTAATATTTTTACTTGACCTTTTATATTTTTTTGTTTTAATTTTATTTTAAGTTTTAGTAATTATGTGCTTTTGTCATTTTTATTAGGTTTTAAATAAAAAAAAATATAATGAATTATTTTTCTGTTTGGCTTTTATTTCCATTTTAGTAATTTTAGTACTTCAACGTGAATCTTTGTTGTTTTATTATCATTGATATACTAATGTATAGTTTCTCTTGATGCTTTAAAGGGGTCATATGATGCGATTTCAATTTTTACTTTCTCTTTGGAGTGTTACAAGCTCTTGGTGCATAAAGAAGATCTGTAAAGTTGCAAAGACTAAAGTCTCAAATCCAAAGAGATATTCTTTATAAAAGTTAAGAGTCAACCACGCCTACCTAAAACGGCTCGTTCTAACACGCCCCCACATACCTACGTCATGATGTGGGAAGATTTGCATAACGCCGCCCAAATGTTCACGCAAAGAAAGAAGGCGTAACTTTTATTCTCGCTATACAATACTATCATTTCCGTCACACGCTTGAGGTATTCGGCCAATCACAACACACTCGATAGCTGGCCAATCAGAGCACACCTTGCTTTTCGGACCGATGAGCTTTGTAAAATGACGCGTTTCAGAAAGGCGGGGCATAGAGGAGAAACAATAATGTACAGTATGTGAAAAATAATGTGTTTTTTTTTTACCTTAAACCACATAAACACATTTCATTACACCAAATACACAAAATAACGTTCTTTTTAGCAGCATCATATGACCCCTTTCATTTAAAATCTATTCTAGTTTTCAATTTTGATTTTACAGTAATTTGATTATTTTTATCATTTTTAAATATGTCAATATATATCTATTTGTTGTATATAAATATCTCTCTATATATATCAGTTTGTTTTTATTTTAGTAGCTCAACTTAAATTTATTTTGTTTCAAGTAGTTGCCAAGTTAACATTTCTCATTTTAATTTTCTTTGAATTTAAAATTTTAAATGTATTAAATATTTTATTCCAGGTAATGTTCATTTTAAGTTATTCATCTAACACTCATATTGAATTTTATTTTAGCTTTATTTCAATTGCCAAAAACAATTTTTAATACTTTAATTTAATTTACTTACTGATAGCAACTTAACCCAAAAATCCCTCTCCTAGACTGTCAGCCAATTCTGGGACAGAAATATAAAAAGAAACAACCCATTAAATTTTAAAGTATTTAAGAATGAATTGTATACAATTTTTGAAAACCTCAATGACCTCCAGAGGCTAAAAACCCTGATTCTCAATGTATATAAACTTCCATTTTCTGTTAATGCTAATGTTTTCTCTTTCTTTTCAGTCACTATGTGGACAGAAATCAAGGGGTGGGTCTATTTGGCGCCGGCCCATCTTTTGAGGCTCAGCATAGGGGCGGTCAGTACAGCAATGCCCCGCCCCCCAGAAACTATCAGCAAGGAAACTACTATCCACCCCAAAGAGACCATTACCCTCAAAACCAGTGTGAGTTTTACACTTTCCAAGAGTGAGACTGTGTCTGGTTGGAAATCATCTAATTGTTTTTTGTTTGTTTTTTTATGTAAAAATTTATGCAAGTGGTTTTCCAAAATTATTTCCAAAAATGATTGCAAAATGACAATATTCTGTGTACTGCATATCCCAGTAATCATTTGGATCTTAATAGCAGCATGAGCATACTTTTTTTTTTTTTTTTCTTCTTTTTTTCAACGTCCAACAAAGAAGATTGTTTATTGGTCAAATATCCAGCAAAAGTAACTTACTATGACATGCAGTTCCTCATACCAAGGATTTTGTCATACAGTCCACTCTTATTCCAGTGTCCCAGAGAATGTTCTTGTGTTTAAGCAGTGTTTAATACAGTAGTTTGGTGACACTGAGGCACAGGAGTCGCTCTTAACGTGTACAGTTACCTTCTGTCCTCCTCAGCATCTCTATCGCCCCCGTGAGCGGCTTCCGTCTCCTGTGCTGCTCTCCTCTGCCGTCACTTTGATGTGGCAATTTGCAAGTTGATGAATAATCGCATCTGTGGGCGAATGGAAGCCACCCTGCTGCCACTTGATGCAAATAGAGGTTTGGGGGTTTTCGCTGATCACTGCTGCTCTTCACTGGCCTGTGCGCTGCGGCCCTCATGCAAAACCCTCCAGTTAAACGTACAGCACGCTAACCGCCCTGTATGCCATTCATGCTTCTATGAATAAGGCAATCAGAGTAAATATTCAGGATTTTTTTTGCTTTCGATTCTTCAGCTGATCTGAGATTTGATTTGGGGTTTTTTATATTAGCTCCTTTGTTAGTGAATTTTAGTAGTGACTTGATGTCAATTTTGGGGTAAACTATTATTTTATTGATCCATCATTTTCTTCTATGTTACACAAAAAGAGATGTTTAGCACAATGTTCAAGCTGCTCTTTTCCGATATGATGAACATGGGTGGTGATTTGATACCAAACTCTAAAATGTTTTGGATTTTTTTTTTATATGGAAATTACTATTATTCAGCAATGATGCCATTAATTTTAACAAAAGGGATTTTAAAGACATTTATAATGTTACAAAAGATTTCCATTTCATATTAATGCTGTTCTTTTTAACTTTCTGTTCAACAAAGAATCCTGGAAAAAAAGTATCACAAAAAATCAGTTTACACAAAATATGAAGAGCAACACAACTGTTTTCAACACTAATAAAAATAAGAAATGTTTCTTGTTCATCAAATCAGCATATTAGAATGATTTCTGAAGGATTATGTGACACTGAAGACTGGAGTAATGATGCTGAAAATTCAGCTTAAATATTAAAAACAGAATATAAAATAAATAGAATATAAAATGTATTAGTTTTCACTATGGTTTTGATCAAGTAAATGTGTATATAAAAAAATCTTAGAGATCTTAGTTTGGTTTTATTCATGAGAATTTTATTTATTTTTTATTTTTTGGGATTGTGCAATCTTTATTTAATGTTATTGTTTGATTTCAGATTTCTTTCCATTAAAATAGCCTTTAGTGCTGACATTGCATTATGCAACCTTCTACTACTATGTCAGTGCTGATTTCTTTTTTTCTTTTTCTTTCTTTCCTCCATGATGATCCGTTTTTCTGTGATTACTGACTGAAGAATGTAGTACATGAGTCATTTACATAGTTTCTATGCAGATTCTTGTTGTCCTCCTTGTTGCTCAACAGCCACATTCACTTTCATTGAAAAGAGCAGCATGATCATTTTCCTAAATATCTCCTTTTGTGTTCCACCAAAAAAAAAAAGAGATTTTGCTTTTCTGCAATTGAACTTCTCCTTTAACACTTTCATCAGTCACGTCATTGCATTGATAAGCTCATGACGTTTTCTCAGACCGCTCTGCTGGTGCTGCGTTTCTCTAAAGGAGTGTGTCTGTGTGCTAGTGACCAAATCCTCGTTAACTTTTCCCAGCTCGCTGTCTTTTTCCCTCTCCCTCCTGCGGTGTCGGCTCAATGCGGAGTTCCTGCGACACACTGAAGGCTTTTGTTAACCCTAATCAAAACAGCTGGTGTTAAAGGACCAGCTAGTGTATTACAGTCCTGCGGTCTTCATTCTATGGATATTGATAAGCTGTATTGTAGAGGTTCATTACAGGCTCATTACAGAGATCAGGGTCCATCTGTGTGTACGTCTGTGCTCTGGGACGATGTAATCCCTTTGTTAAGTTAATGAGAACAGCGTTTACCGTTGTGTTTTTAATGCGTAATCCTATTTGGGCTTTGTGTCAACTGGCTTTAACTTCCCAACATTCAGTGTGTGGACTGCGGATGGTGTTTATTGAGAGCAGGATGAATTGGCTGTAATTTCGTTTTTCGTTTGACTGGTTGTGAGATGAGCCGGGATGAATTAGTGCTTGATAATGGAGGTGTAAGTGGGTGGTCCGGCCTCTTTCTCTCTCTGGTCATTAGATCTCATACTGGATTTTTGGAGGTGTTTATTGGCTGCCGAATTAAAAACGTCTAGGACGTCTGACAGCATCTGTTGATCATCACAGAAGAGTGTCTCTCGTCCTGCTTTTAAAGTGATGCGTATACAATAAAAGTTGATGAATGAAGACACTGTAGCTGAAATACACAACTACATTTTTTTTTTTTTAATGTTTGGTATCATTCACTTTGAAAAGTTATATCCAACTTTAAATCTCCATTATGACCAAAAAATGCAATCTGTACAAGCATTGGGAAAGCATTAGTAAAGTAGTTCACCCAAAAATGAAAATATAAACATTTACTCACCCTCAGACCATTAAAGATGTTAATAAGTTTTTCTTCATGGGAACAGGTTTGGAGAAATGTAGCACTGCATCACTTGCTCACCAATGGATGCTCTGCAGTGAATGGGTGCCGTCAGAATGAGAGTCCAAACAGCTGATAAAAACATCACAATAATCCACAAGTAATCCACACCACTCCAGTCCATCAGTTAATGTCTTGTGGAGTGAAAAACTGCATGTTTGTAAGAAACAAATCCATCATTAAGACTTTTTTTTTTTATGTCAAACCATTGCTTCTGGCCAAAATATGAGTCCTCTATCCATAATATTGCTTTCTCCAGTGGAAAAAGTCCATCTCCTGTTGTCTCTAACATCAAAATCCTCCCACATCTTTGTTTAGAACTGTTTTTGACTATTTTTACTTGTGAACTGTGCTTGATCTGTGCATATTTCTCTCCTCATTAAAATGAGATGAATTTTTCAATGGAAACAAAAGTTTCAAGTTAAAAACGCCTAATGTTTTTGTTTTGAAAAAACATGCAGCTTTTGCGAGAGGATCCATTGGTGAGCAAGTGATGCAATGCTACATGTCTCCAGATCTGATGAAGAAACAAACTCATCTACATCTTGGATAACCTGAGGTTGAACTCTGCCTTTAATGAACTTTAAAGGGTTAGTTCACCCAAAAATGAAAATTCTGTCATTAATTACTCACCCTCATGCCGTAAGACCTCCGTTCATCTTCGGAACACAAATTAAGATATTTTTGATGCATTCTGAGAGCTCTCTGATCCTCCTATAGACAGCAAGGGTACTACCACGATCAAGGTCCAGAAACGTAGCAAGGAGATCGGTAAAACAATCCATGTGACATCAGGGGTTCAATCGTAATATTACGAAGCTACGAGAATACTTTTTGTACGTGAAGAAAACAAAAATAACGATTTTATTCAACAATTCGTTGTAGTAGTACCCTTGCTGTCTATGGGAGGATCAGAGAACTCTCAGAATTCATCAAAAATATCTTAATTTGTGTTCCGAAGATGAACGGAGGTCTTACGGGTTAAGAATGATATGAGGGTGAGTAACTGACACAATTTTCATTTTTGGGTGAACTAACCCTTTAATGCGCCTTTAGGAAATACAAATACAAACTGTACAATACAGTCACGTTTAAAATTTGATTGCAGTGTACTTCCATAGACTTCAGTGAGTTACCGTAATTGTTTGATTTCTTCGTGAGCACAGACTAGAGAGCCGTTAACTGAATGCAACCTCTTTCCACAGCGCTTTTTTTCTTTTCTTTTTTTAATTAAGCCTTAGTCAATTAAATCAGGTGCATGCAACAATCTCCATTTCAAATATTGTTATTTAAAGTTAAAATTAAGAATTTGTTCTTTTAAGAGTTTTGTCCTGTTTCCTTGCTCAAAGAATGATTTTCACAACTTTTAGAACTTGCTAGAAAAAAATAGCTTTTAAATAAATCCCTCTGTGCACAAAGAATTCCTTTATAAGTGCATTACTGTAAATGCAGTTGTGTTTATTATTATTATTTTTATTATTTTCTGTATTAAAGCTCTGTTTGAATTGTTTTAAAGCCATAAAATCCCTTTGGCTTCCAAACAGGGAAATTATTTTGGTTTCTTTCCGTTGTTACTCCACCTTCAAGCCTACATTTGTAAATGACAGCTTTTTCTTTTGGGCTCAAGTTCTTGTCTTTGTCCCTCTCTCTCACACACACACACACACACACACACACACACACACTCATCTCTGCTCCTGCCCTATAAAACAAACAGCTCGGAGCCCCGCAGCTGCTGATCACCTTGGCAACGGCGGATCAGGAAAGAAGCCACTTGCTACTTTTTTTAAAGTCTGTCTTTGTGAAGGACCTGCAGCGCTGGAACTAGAGCACTTGAGATCGCCGCAGCGCCGGCTGATGAATGCTTATTTCATTTAGCACGGGAAGAAATGCAAATGTGCCACTTTTGACATCCCCCTCCCCCCTCCCAAACACTAAATCCTGTTCATATTACTGAACAACACAATTTACTTCATCTCTCAAACTGTTTTCCCTGAAATTGGAATCTGATACAAATTAGGTTAATGAATTCTATCTCATTTATTTAGCGTTAAGGCCTTTTACCCAGCTGTAGCCTGGTGTGTGGCGGTAGTTGTTGTTGTTTTGCTGCTTAATGTCAAAGAATGATTACAAATTTGATTTTATAGAAAACATCCCACTCAGCAGTGCTTCATGTAGCGTTTGAAATATTATCTTTAGACAGTTGTAACAGCTCTTCAGAAAATCGTTGTAGTTTTAGATTCAAGGTTCTGCATTAAAGCAAACAAATGGATTGGATAAAAATAAAAAATAAAGATCTGATTTTTTTTTATATATATATATATTCTGAGTGGTGATTGCCTATCCAAAACTTGCTGCTAAAATGCTAGGGTTTTAGTTGCTAGGACGTTCTAGCTGGTTTCTTAATGTCCTGGGTGAGTCCATCTTCAATGTAAATAGCTGGGAAGATATTTTACAAGTTTTCTTGAGAAAATAAATGTTTTTGGAGCTATAATTTTCAGTGTGTGGATTTTATTTTTATTTATTTATTTTTTACCTCAACCCAATTTTGCGAGGAATCTTAAGTCTGACCTTTTAGAAAAGTAAAGTCACACCTTTCCTCAAGACACAATTTGAGGAATCTTTTAGTAAATGCCACTAATAAAATTAATTGCCTGTTTTCATTTTCACAGATTCCAGACCACCTCCAGTGAACGCCGCCGCACCGTATCCTAGGTAAGATGTTTTCTCTGTACTCATGGTCACGTATGTTTGGTCCCGAAGGTTACGGTGCACCTGTGACAGTACATTTCCAGCTGATCTGGATTATGTGTCTCTACAAGCATACTAGGGCTGAAATGAGTATTCAACATTGACAACATCGACTATAAAAAAAAAAAAAAGATTTTTGACAAATGTTGTTGAATAGTCATTTGATCTCATGTGACCTAATGTAAGAGCCTGCAATAACACTGTTTGACCATTGGGGCACTGTAGCACAAGACTGTAATTCAGCCCAATGACATGCAGTCCAATAGAAGAAGACACGCAAAACCAAACCAGTAGAGTGTGGGAAAGTTTTTTTTTTTTAATTCTACAAACAGAAAATGCTGTCATGTGTAAACGTCCTGATATACTTAAGGCAACGTTTATTTTCGTTCCTCGGTTAGGGGTAAAAAAAAAACTTGGATATACGCAAACAGCGCTTTACTGTTAGCGAACATCCTGACGATGCTGGGAGTGGCATTTAGATGGAAATACATGCTGCACACTTTCCTCTAAATAACAAAATAAACACACAACAAACATGACTGGTGAGAAAACAGCAGCTAGGAAAGCATCTGATCATAGCGATGCGGTCATGCGAAGCTTTGCAATCGACTCTCCAGTAAACTTATGTTACGTTTATTTATTAAACTTTATGCAGTAGACCGCTTTAAAGCAAGCAGCTTTACAGTATTAAACATGAAAAACCGCGTCAGTGTCACTTTCAATTAGAATTCTAACTTGATTGTCTGATATACAGCAGCTCTACACATGTATATGATTATGCATAGAATATGTATAACTCAATATTTTACCGAACTGCAAAAGCTGACTAACAGGGTTTCCGTGGGTCCTTAAAGTCTTAGATTTAGTTGTATCAAATTTAAGGCCATAGGTCTTAAATTTGGAAATGGAAAGACAAGAATCACAATATGACTGATTAAACTATGAAAAAAATTTGAGCACTACATGTTTCACAGTAAAACTTGGCGCATTAAATAAAGGGAACTGACTGTCTTCAGAAAAATATAGAAGTTATTATTTTTTTTCATTTTACCTTCATTTAATGCCTAATAAAGTAGCATTTGTATGCAGCTGTTACCAGGGAAACTGCTATATTTCTGCTGTTCCAAAGTGCCGCCTACTGTTTAGACCGGGGTGAAAATTGACCCGTATTTTTACACAGTTGTAAATGTGAACCGGTGGATCGATAAGAAGCTAATATGCCTTCTAAATATCTAAACAATTAAGACAGCAAGATATATTTGGTTTTTAATTAACATTATAAATAATACTTTTGACTCGTCCCTTTTATTAAAAAACGGTTTAAAGGCTGAAATGTGAAGTTTATTTGTGAAAACCTGTATCTGAACTCTGTCATGTTTCTTACAGTCATTTTACGGTTTAACACGTTACCGTAGACATTACCCTACACAGCTCATACAGTATTCATTTAATTTTAGTCTTATAATACCTTTGAGTAGTTCACTTCCAGAACAAAAATTTACAGATAATTTTCAGAGTATTTCACAGATGAATCAGTAGATTATTCTAGTGTATCTGCAGGATTATTCAAATCAAATTTAAAGGAATAGTTCACTTCCAGAACAAAAATTTAGATAATGTACTCAACCCCCTTGTCATCCAAGATGTTCATGTCTTTCTTTCTTCAGTCGTAAAGAGATTGTTTTTTGAGAAAAACATTTCAGGAATTTTCTCCATAACATGGACCTCTATGGTGCCCGCGAGTTTGAACTTTCAAAATGCAGTTTAAATGCAGCTTCAAATAATGGTCGACCGATATTGTTTTTTTGACAGCTGATGCCGATATCTTGGAATGCAGGATGGCCGATATAAAACCGATATAATTTTATTTTAATTAATATTAGGTAACACTAATTTTACATACAGCACACAGTGGAAATGACATGAATATGGCAGTTGGCAAATGCATAAAGCGTAGCATAATTTGAAATTACAAGTTTAAAGTTTGTCGATCGCGCGTCTCCAGTGAAGCCGCCTCGAACGCATCGGCCAAACAGAAACTTATCGGCCGATGACGATATTTAAAAAAATTCCAAATATCGGCCGATATATCGGCCTTGGCGTTATATCGGTCGACCACTAGCTTCAAAGGGCTCTAAACGATCCCAGCCGAGGAAGAAGGGTCTTATCTAGCGAAGCGATATGTCATTTTCTTTTAAAAAAAAATTACAATTTATATACTTTTTAACCTCAAACGCTCATCTTGTCTAGCTCTGCGTGAACTCTGTGCACTCCAGTTCAATACAGTTAGGGTATGTCGAAAAACTCCCATCTCATTTTCTCCTCCAACTTCAAAATCGTCCTAAATAGTCCTACATCGCTGCAGAAGTACCGAAACAGTGTTTACAAAGTGGACATGCAAAGAAGGTCAAACTCCCTTTATAAAAAAGGTAAAACAGCGATTTAGGATGATTTTGAAGTTGGAGGAGAAAATAAGATGGGAGTTTTTCGACATACCCTAACCGTCATGAACCGGAATGCACAAGAGTTCACGCAGAGCTAGACAAGACAAGCGTTTAAGGTTAAAAAGTATATAAATTGTAAATTTGTTTTAGAAAATGACATATCGTTTCGCTAGATAAGACCCTTCTTCCTCGGCTGGGATCGTTTAGAGCCGTTTGAAGCTGCATTTATATTGCATTTTGGAAGTTCAGACTCGCGGGCTCCATAGAGGTCCACTATATGGAGAAAATTCCTGAAATGTTTTCCTCAAAAAACATAATTTCTTTACGACTGAAGAAAGAAAGACATGAACATTGTGGATGACAAGGGGGTTGAGTACATTGTCTAAATTTTTGTTCTGGAAGTGAACTATTCCTTTAAATTTGATTTGAATAATCCTGCAGATACACTAGAATAATCTACTGATTCATCTGTGAAATACTCTGAAGTGACGGAACAGACTCCAGTTACCTTTCCTCTCCCGGTGTTAGCGGTCTTCCTGTGCACGATACGAGTTATTGATGTTCTTCCTGGGGGGGCCGGACTGAATTAGTTTCTCTGCGTGCTAAACAAATGTTCTCTTAAAGAGGTTTGCAGGGCTTAATGAGGCAGCACTAATGCGGTTGCGCTTCACCGTCTCTTGTGCGCAGGGGCCGCACAGAGCCGCCATTGATTCTGGCTCCAGACCACTTCAGGGACTAATCGGCTTCTTTTGGTTCAACTTTTTAGGCCCGGCAGCCCATTGTGGCCCTGTGTCACCTTAGGTCAGTAGTTATTAGAGCAGAGTTTCTTTAACCGTTCGGGACGGAGCCGAATAAAACGCACAAGGAACCTTGAGGAGGGATTATGGATTCCTCAGGAAGATTGTGAACTGTGTCAGTAATGAGGGATGCTGATGTCCAGCTCTCTTCTTTAGAGAACGATAGATGTTTGGGTAGGTGAGCTGGTTTACGGTCGAGCACAGGTTACAGCCGTGTTATTTGGAGCATTCAGGAGACTTTAGACTAGTTTTGATGGCGATGAGTGAAATGGGAATCAAAGAACGAGCTGGCCTTTGCATTTCAAAGCCACTTGAGCTGAAATCTCATTATTTGTACTGCTGGATGGGAGATTTTTGTGGTTTCAAATGAAAGATTAGGGTTTCCGTGGTCTTGGAAAACTAGAAAATATCAGGGAATGGTAAAAATGTGATCATTCAAGCCTCAAATAAGTCATGGAGGTTAATAAATTGTGAAAATATATTTAGCTAAATATACATACTGTTTAAAATTTTAGGGTCGGTGAGATTTTTGAAAGAAGGTGCATTTATTTGATCAAAAAACTGAAATATAATTTTTTTTTTTTTAAACGTATATTTGAATATATTTGAAGATGTAATTTATTGCTGTGATCAAAGATGAATTTTTAGCATCTTTACTTCAGTCTTCAGTGTCGCATGATCCTTCAGAAATCGTTCTGATATGCAGATTTGCTGCTCAAGAAACATTTCTGATTGTTATGGGTGTTGAAAACCGTTGTGCGGCTGAATATTTTTGTGGAAACTGATTCATTTTTTTTTTTTCAGGATTCTTTCAATATAAAGTTAAAACAAAATATTTGAAATTGAAAATTTTTAGTAATGTCTTTACTGTCAGTTTTGATAAATTACATCCTTGCTAAATATAACTACTTTTTTAAAAATAGAAAAAAAAGATATAAAATATTGGCTAGATTTAGATACTGTTAGATTTTGTTTTTTTTTTTTGTTTTTTTTAATTTAAGCATTACACAGTACTCTCAAATGACTGGAAATGAATCGGTAAGTCTCGGAATGTCTGGCAAACAATGTGGAAATTTATTTAAAGGGGTCATATGATGCGATTTCATTTTTTCCTTTCTCTTTAGAGTGTTACAAGCTCTTGGTGCATAAAGAAGATCTGTAAAGTTGCAAAGACTAAAGTCTCAAATCCAAAGAGATATTCTTTATAAAAGTTAAGAGTTAGCCATTTTACTTTAAACCGCATAAACACATTTCATTACACCAAATACACAAAATAATGTTCTTTTTAGCAGCATCATATGACCCCTTTAAAGAATGTTTTTTCTAGATGTTCTCTAGAAATATTTAAACCGATAGGAATTGTGCTTTTTTTCAGGAATTTTTTTTTTTTGCTACTTGCTCAGGTTGATTTTATTTTTTATTTTTCCTCTCCCTGCTGGAGCTTCCTGAAGACTTTTTTCTCTCTCTCTCTTCTGTGAGTGTTTAAAGTGACCATTGTGTTTGCTGAAGCGAGTGCTCTGATCGCCACAGGTTCCAGCATGGATCTCACGGTTGGGATCAGGCCATGCAGTCCCAGAGCACCGCGTACCAGCAGAACCAGCAGAGAGGACGAGGAGGATGGAGACCCCCTCAAAACCAGCAGGACAGCCGCAGAGGAGGACAACAGCAGGTCTGACCGCCGCCTCATCATTTCAATGAAAACACACAGGTGTAAAATCTCATGCTCATAGGAAGCTCTGCTTGTCTTTCAGGGGTCTGGACAGGGTTATGGGTTGCCTCCACCATCACAACGCAACAACTGGAACTGAACGCTCAGCCTTATGTGAAAGAAGCTTCTTATTTTCTATAACAAGCAAACATTGTCTTTTTTGGGCTGTTAATTTGTAAAGTTTTTTTTCTTGTTTTACTGACAAAATGTTCTTATGTACTGATTTTTAAGAATATGCCTGTAAAACTTATGAAATACACATAAGAGACAAGACTGCTGAGTTTTGCTTTTTTTCTTTGTTTGTGTGTTTTGTTAGGAATGGGTTAGGTACCCAATTTTTTATGCAGATCGATTTATAAACTCCTAATTCATAGCTGTGGTGAGCAGAGTCCGTTTTTGTATTGTCTATTTTAATCTTTAAATGAATATTCATAGCTTATTTCTTGCCAATTATAGATGCAGATCGACATTTTGAGAGTCTGTTTAAAATGAGTCTTGAATTAATGAATGGATTAAACGGTAATAATGCAGAGTGGACTAAAATGTACGAAAATGACCAACATGAGTAAATCTGCTGTTTTTAACAAGCTTTTGTTTTATTTTTGAGCTATTAGGCAAGTTTTTCGTTAAAATCATGTAAAATAAGATTGAGCAATGCAAAAATAAAGGTCGGTAACACAAATGATTGAAGTATATGTAATAATTTGGGAAACAAACTGTTTCTTATTAAATGTTTCATAAAGAAATGCATTTCATGAACGGTAAAAAAAAAAAAAAATAACCAGCACCGGCACTGCAACGCGCCGCGGCGACTGCTGCGCGCACAGGCTTCCGCTGTCCTGCTGCTGCGGCTGCGACGCTTTATCCTTCGCCTGGCGTTTCATTTTGTACCGGTGATTCTGGAACCAGATCTTGACCTGGGTCGGGGTCAGGTGAATCATGCTGGCCAAATGTTCCCTCTCCGGCGCCGACAGATACTTCTGCTGCTTAAAGCGGCGCTCCAGCTCATACACCTGCGCCTGAGAGAAGAGCACGCGCCGTTTCCTCCGCGGCGCCGCGTGTAAAGTCACCATAGATTTACTTGCATCCATGCCCGGTAATGTTCCCATGTTCATGCCCGCCGAGGGACCCATAAACCTGGAGACTTGAGAGAACAAGCAAATTAAATTTAACATCGATGCGTAGTTTCAAAACCTTATGCAGTGTTTGGAAGCCTAACACTAAAAAAAAAAAAAATTGTAAATAAAGCTTTTTACAAGAAAATAAAACAACTTTTTTTTTCAAAATTTCACGTTTAATTCAATGTGTTACTTGCCGTTTATTTGTGTTTATTTTATTAAATATACTAGCACTTTCTGAGTAAAGAGTGTTTCTGAAATATATTTTCGTTGTATTTGGTATGAAACTAAATTTAATTTAATATAAAATAAAATAAAAATAAATAATATTACATTTATAGCCCATAACCGATTATATATTGTTGACCTTTTTTTACAGAAAAAGTGTACAAGAGTACAAAACGTCCACATAGGCTAGGCCTATTATAAATTAAATCGAATGAAGATGAGAATTAAACAAAAATGATTTAAAATCCAAAACCGAAAAGAGAAAATAATTAAATGAAATTCTTTACTTTTGAACCATTTTCACTTAGAGATTGCAATACATTTCTCAAATAGTGAAAGAAAACGGCAAGTAACATTGAATTAAACATGAAAGTTTGAGGCCGAAATAAACGGATTAAGTACGTTCTTGTAAAACGTATAGCTACTGAAATAATCCGTTTTATTTACTAATATTTTTTACGGTCTCTATAGATACATAGATCGGCCTATTAATTTATACTAATATTTCATAATTATATTAAATGCGCAGGCTTCTGATGTGTAGGCTGTGGACTTGCATTATGTTATTTATTCTAAAGAAAGAAATATATTCAGAACAAATTCCATACGTCTCTATAATATGACAGCTTGACAGTGTGTAAACAAATGGCTAATTGATTTCTTGAAAAACGAGAGAATTACAGAAATCTTTGCGGTTCTAAATGGCAAAAGCCTTAATAACATGACCTTGTTACGGATATTGATCCGTTGAGGCATGCAGGATGATTCTGTTGATCGGACTCACTTGTCGGGTACCTGGGCTCCGGGTTCGAGCCGTACCAAGCCGTGGCCGTCGCGCCGTTCCTCATGCTCTCCTGATAGGACGGCAGGTCTCCCATGGTGCCGATAGTCCCGTTGCAGTATCCTCCCATGGCGCTGTGCGAGAACTGCGAGTGCGGCATGTGGTAGGTGTTATGGCTCATGCTGTGCTGCTGCAGGTTCGCCTGAGACACCTGAGTCTGTCTGTACAGAGGAGACGCCAGGCACGCGCTGCTCTCCATGGCTGCAAACTTCTTGAAGGTCTCCTCGATCGGGCTCAAAATATCGCTCACTGAGAAAGGCGTTGAGTGTTTGGGGCTCAAGGACATGGTTCAGCCCGCGAGCGAGTTTGCTGAAGCTGCCACAAGCCCGTGGATGCGCGCGCTGCCGCCAGACGCCAAGTGTCCGCCGTGCGTAACCGCGTTCTCCGAGGTCCGAGTGTGCGTCCTGGAGAAAGAGACGAGTCCTGGACGCTCTTATTTCTGCCTTATTCCCATCAGACTGCGGGTTTACGACAAACACGGGGGGCGGAGCGACGAGCCAAACGAGCCATTGACATCCTAGTAATTGAAGAAAATACTCATGGAGCGAAAGATGCGCAAAGAATGCCATCAGAACGGCTCCGCTCGCAGATTTGTATCATTTTGAGCTTCCAAGTGGCGTCAGCTTTTTTTTTTTTTTTTTTGCATCAATCTATCTAAGCTTTCGCATTATGGTAAGTGGCAAAACATCGGAGGTTTCTTTTTATACGAACTTGAGAGCTCGGTTTGACATGCAATGCGTCAGAATCGGACGCTCAGGTTGAACAATTTCGCTTGTGATGATAGTTCATGCTAAAATCACAAGGATGACATATTTATTTGGTTTGAAATGACGGCACCAAACCAGAACTATAATTCAGTGCGTTCTTATTCAACCTAGAAAAAAAACTCTAAACTAAATAAAGCAATTTATACACAATTATGAAATCATTTGAAACGTTTTAAAACTATTCTCAAAACACAAATGTGGTTTAGTAAAGTATTCACGCGTATTTGTTTTTTATGACAAGATCATTCATGATGCAACAGCCAATTTAAAGTTTATTGCTAGAATTGTGGGATTGTTCAGTATGCAAATTGAGGACCCTTTAACCCTGTAGAATATGAAGTCAGAGGGCATGGCCAACAACCACAAAACACAGCCGTGTGTCTCCAGCTCCACAGTCCGCAGAGAGCAACCTGCAACTAAAAAAGCGAAGGAAAAAGTTCTAAATATTGAATATTCCTATAATTCCTACATTCATTGCCTTGGATTTCTCAGGAGTCAAAGGCAGAGGTTCACAAATACAGCAGGTAATCAATCAATATGTGCTTGTTTATAGTTGTATAGGCCTAGTGAAATAAGAAATGGTCTGGACAAAAACACTAAGCAAAGCATGTTTTACTGCATGCTTCCCAGCAGCGGGGCAGAATTTTGTTTATTCGAAACAAAACAACAAACAATTTTTTTTTTTGTAAACGAACGAATATTTCCGATGTTTATTTGGCCGTGTAATCTACATATTATACGCGCGCAATTAAAGAAATGAGATACAGAAAAGGTAATATTTTATTTATTCAACCACAACTGTGGTAATGGAAAATAAAGCATGTTTAAAACGCCACCACGAATACAAGTCCTGAAACAGTTGCATGATTTCTATATAATGTCATGAAACATTTGGAAAGGTCAGAGGCGTGTGGCGCGCAGCTCATGCAATGATGTAAATAAATGACACGGGTTATCTACATTTTTAAACACACGCAGACCTGAAAGGACTTCATTTTAGGTGCGTTTAACCTCAGAAATAAACTGGATTTGTGCAATTTAACAGACCTTCCAAAACAATAAAGTACGGTTTTAATTGTTTGCGTAAAATACGACGAGAACAAACAACCTCACATGAATTTATTGCCTACTCTGTTATTTTTGTTTGTTATATTAGCTTTAATATTTCAAAAGATGTAAACCATGACTTTTGTTATCTCAAAAACACCTTTAGCCTATTGACGGTTTTATTTTCTGCGCGTAATTAAATCATAAATCAGTTGTTAAATATTTGTAGCTGAGAGGTCCAGATCGGAAAGCAGAAAACAACGACTTTTCTTTGTTTAATCGCCTTTATTTGATCCTCCAGAGGCTTGTGCACGGTGAATCTCCAGGTGTACGTGTGGCACCGTGGCGCTCTTGAGGACGCATTCCAGCCTGTGATGAGGTGAAAGGTTCAACGCAAGTGACAGAGCACTTAAACAGCCTTTCTTCTGCTGCCTCCCGCAATTAATGTTATTGGAGGACTGAAATGATGCTAATAGTTCGACAGAAAGCCTCTGGCAGGGTGGAAACCCAGTTTGCCATTGCATTTGAATAGAATCGCGTTTATTAAAATGTGTAAGTTAAGGAGAATTCCCTGCAGTGATTTCAAATGAGGTAAGGTCTGAATGAATGTTAATAAAATCATTAGCCCTTGGAACTGTTTTAATGCCTCTACATGTTTCTTTATGAGCTCCGCGAACAGAATTGTTTGACCTAATAAAGACTCGAACTGAGTTGTACACTGTAAAAAAGAAAATCTGTGACATTTACGGTAAAATACCGGCTGCTGTGGTTGCCAGAACTTCACCGTTAAAAATATGGTAGAAACATTTTAGGTTTTACAGACTTATCTTAAATTCACAATAAAAAAACGTATTTCAGTTAATTGATGTAATGTTCATAAACCAGCATATTGAAGTACTACTATCTGTTTTAAACCATTGAAATGCTGATAACCACCAAAAACAGGTGGTGATGAGAAAGTCACATGATGAACCAAAGCTCATCACAAACAGCTCTTCCACAAGCTGAAAAGGAAAATACTAATATATATAGATAGAAGGTGCACAGTGTCATTCACACAAACACTAAACTCCAACATGGTGACACACATGATACTGAAATAATGCAGTAAACATTAGTTTAACAACATTAGATGTAAGATGCTTGTTTATAGTTGTATAGGCCTAGTGAAATAAGAAATGGTCTGGACAAAAACACTAAGCAAAGCATGTTTTACTGCATGCTTCCCAGCAGCGGGGCAGAATTTTGTTTATTCGAAACAAAACAACAAACAATTTTTTTTTTTGTAAACGAACGAATATTTCCGATGTTTATTTGGCCGTGTAATCTACATATTATACGCGCGCAATTAAAGAAATGAGATACAGAAAAGGTAATATTTTATTTATTCAACCACAACTGTGGTAATGGAAAATAAAGCATGTTTAAAACGCCACCACGAATACAAGTCCTGAAACAGTTGCATGATTTCTATATAATGTCATGAAACATTTGGAAAGGTCAGAGGCGTGTGGCGCGCAGCTCATGCAATGATGTAAATAAATGACACGGGTTATCTACATTTTTAAACACACGCAGACCTGAAAGGACTTCATTTTAGGTGCGTTTAACCTCAGAAATAAACTGGATTTGTGCAATTTAACAGACCTTCCAAAACAATAAAGTACGGTTTTAATTGTTTGCGTAAAATACGACGAGAACAAACAACCTCACATGAATTTATTGCCTACTCTGTTATTTTTGTTTGTTATATTAGCTTTAATATTTCAAAAGATGTAAACCATGACTTTTGTTATCTCAAAAACACCTTTAGCCTATTGACGGTTTTATTTTCTGCGCGTAATTAAATCATAAATCAGTTGTTAAATATTTGTAGCTGAGAGGTCCAGATCGGAAAGCAGAAAACAACGACTTTTCTTTGTTTAATCGCCTTTATTTGATCCTCCAGAGGCTTGTGCACGGTGAATCTCCAGGTGTACGTGTGGCACCGTGGCGCTCTTGAGGACGCATTCCAGCCTGTGATGAGGTGAAAGGTTCAACGCAAGTGACAGAGCACTTAAACAGCCTTTCTTCTGCTGCCTCCCGCAATTAATGTTATTGGAGGACTGAAATGATGCTAATAGTTCGACAGAAAGCCTCTGGCAGGGTGGAAACCCAGTTTGCCATTGCATTTGAATAGAATCGCGTTTATTAAAATGTGTAAGTTAAGGAGAATTCCCTGCAGTGATTTCAAATGAGGTAAGGTCTGAATGAATGTTAATAAAATCATTAGCCCTTGGAACTGTTTTAATGCCTCTACATGTTTCTTTATGAGCTCCGCGAACAGAATTGTTTGACCTAATAAAGACTCGAACTGAGTTGTACACTGTAAAAAAGAAAATCTGTGACATTTACGGTAAAATACCGGCAGCTGTGGTTGCCAGAACTTCCCCGTTAAAAATATGGTAGAAACATTTTAGGTTTTACAGACTTATCTTAAATTCACAATAAAAAAACGTATTTCAGTTAATTGATGTAATGTTCATAAACCAGCATATTGAAGTACTACTATCTGTTTTAAACCATTGAAATGCTGATAACCACCAAAAACAGGTGGTGATGAGAAAGTCACATGATGAACCAAAGCTCATCACAACAGCTCTTCCACAAGCTGAAAAGGAAAATACTAATATATATAGATAGAAGGTGCACAGTGTCATTCACACAAACACTAAACTCCAACATGGTGACACACATGATACTGAAATAATGCAGTAAACATTAGTTTAACAACATTAGATGTAAGATAAAGCCCTAATGTACACAACTGATAAGGAAAAACTAAGAAGAAACATAGTTATTTCAACTAAAAAACATAACATATGAAGTGTCATGCAGGGAATTCTGGGAGTGTCAATTTACGTTTTTTCACTGTAAATTATACAATGACTTTTTCTTTTTCACTTCCAAAAACCGTAATTTTAACAGTATTTTACTGTAAAATTACATTAAATGTAATTACAGTTATTCACC